TATTTAAGAGATATACACACAATTTCATTTCTTGTCTGATCAAGAATTCTTTACGTGTTTCTCTTCATAATCATTTGAGGAGTAAAAATCAATCTACTTAGAGTTGGAAAAATAACATCTCTTTTGTCAATTAGGACTAAATTTCATGTACACCCTCAAATGGTGTCTTCCCAAAATGAATACCTAGGACTCTCAACCTAAGAAAAAATTTATAAAGACCTCTACAATGAAAAGGAAGCCATAATATGAGACATTGTATGAGAAAATGAAAACACATCCTGTGTTAAGATTTTGGCAGAATTAAAATTGTGAAAGTGTCTATATTCCCCAAAGCTACTATTCTTTCAATGATATTCCATGGAAAATTACAGTGCATTTTTGCAGGAATATAAAAATCAATACTAAGAAAAAAAACAATGGGAAACTCTGATAACCCTAGTTGAGATTAAGAAGATTCTTCTCTGAAACCAGGCTAGGGAAAAAATTTTCTGGGATGACTTACCTGGGTGGGGTGGCAGATGTCTGTCATCCCAGCTCTGTAAGAGGTGGAGATTGAGGAAATGAGAGTTCCAGGGAAGTCCTATGTGGATGTTAGTCACAACAGTAGTGCTTGCCTATAATCACAGCTGTGATGGAATCTTAACTAACCATGGAAGTCCATTTGTTTGCATATCTATGAAGTGAAAACTTATCACAAAATTCCACACAGCAAGGTGTGTGTTGGTGATTTATGTCTGTAATACTAGCTATTCACTAGCTATTTTACCTATCTGAGATCTGAGCAATTCAGTTCAAAGCCAGCCTGGACAGGAAAGACATTGAGCAACTTATCTACAATTAACTAACAAAAGAGCTACAAATAGCACTTGACTCAAATTGGGAAATTTCAAATTTTAAAAAACAGTGTTCAGGCACTGAGTGTCCAGGAATGGCAACAAAGTACAATAAATACAAAACAAAAACCTCCAAAGACACAGAGTGGAAGAGAAATATCAGGATTGGGATGGAGTGATGTTATGTTTCCATCTTCATTGTGGGAATCTTCTAGTCTCACACACAACTTTAAGCAGAAGGGCTAAGAAAATGAGGCACAAAACCAAGTAGCTTGGATTCAATCAATGTCCTGAATTTCAGGTAGGGTAAATAGAGTGACCATCCAGTTGTTGCATACACTGGAATTCAGGTATGAACAACCTTGAGCACAAACACATGGAAAGACTTTACCTTAGCAGAGAAACAATGAACACACCTACATAAAAACCAGGGTGAAAGGCCTCAGCTCAGCAGGAAATTGGAACCAGCTACATCTCTAAGCTTTCCTTTTAGATGTGAGTGAAACCACAGCTCAGCAGCTTCCAAGGAGGGAAACAATGGGAAAGAGCAGAATAAACTGTGAATTGATGGTTGACTTGGGTGAAGGAAAAGGCACAGGCTTGGTAAGAATTATGTGAGGCTGGGGTATTTTGAGCTCAGACCCCTAGTAGTTTCATTGAAGATTGCATTGAGCTCCTATTCTGGAAAATGAGTGCTTAATAGACTCAATTCTAGAGTGAAACCTCTCAAAAGCCACCTACTAGGTTAAATACATCACTCCTAAGCAATGGACTGAAAACTGTGACAAATAATCACAAATATATGTTACACCATTTCACCAAAGTAGTCAATAATACACCAACAATCACCAGACTGAGAAGATAAGGAACCCATCTAATTCTAATACATAGTATCTTAAATATCATGGAATAAATGTAACCAAGGAAGTGAAAGAGATCTACAAAGTAAAATATTGGTTTTTCCCAAAAGTAGAAGACATAAGAAGAAAAATTCTCCATTGTTGTTCATTCATAAGATTGAATAGGTACCATTTGTAATGAGATGGAAAAACTGGGGAAAAAATGCATACTTAGTGAAGTAAGTCAGGCCCAGAGAAACAGTGGATGAATGTTTTCTTTTAGGCATGGAAGCTAGAATTAGTTTATAAAGTAAAAGCTTGGGTGGTATGCCAGTGTATTCAATACAGTAGATTCATTGGGGAATTCAAATAATGTAATTTCCTTCAAAGGCAAAGTCAACTTTCTGCAAAATAAAACACCAGGAAACAAGCAATCCTAAGGGATAGGATCATTGGGGAAAGAAGTGGACAAATGAAGAGGAGAACAGGAGAATGAAGTCACACATCCAATATATATATATATATATATATATATATATATATATATATATATACTTCAAATTGAAAAGATGGAAAAGGTGAATAGTGGAGGAATGAGTGAAACGTAGAAAGGGGTGACATTGATCTAGTTATATATTGAATTTGTAAATTGCTTTGTAAAAGGCAACTCCACTGGACAATGACTTAAAGAAAATTTAAATTTAAAAAATAAAAATAAAAAATTAAAGTTTTTTAATTGTTTTGATGTTTCCATGTATGTATATAATGTACTCTTTTTAGACACAAATAACATCCATTAAACCCATCCCTTCTGAAAATGATTCCTATAGTACTTATTATCACATATTTATAAATGTATATTATATGTTGGTTATGTGGAAGCTGTTATATTCCCATTGACCGTCTCCCTCCACCATAAGACATGGACTGTATTTCATTCCTACCATTCATTTTTTTTTTATGGGCCAGTCATGGGGCCTGAACTCTGGGCCTGGGTGCTGTCCCTCAGCTCTTCAGCTCAAGGCTAGTGCTCTACCACTTGAGCCACAGCACCACTCCAGCTTTTTTCTTTTTGCTTATGTGGTACTAAGGAATCGAACCCAAGGCCTCAGGCATGCAAGGCAAGCACTCTACTACTGAGCCATTTTCCCAGCCCTACCATTCATTTTTTAAAATCATTTTTCTTCCAGTACTAGGGCTTGAACTCAGTGCCTGAGTGAGTCCTTTAGCTTTTTTGTGGACTGTGTGGATTCTTTCATTCTGACATGCACCCACTTGTCAATGCTTTCTTGAGCTCTGTAATAGGCAGGTACTGTAGTATGAGCCATATCTCCAGCCCTTCTTTGCATTGAGTGTTTTTGTGATATTATCTTGCTTTTGCTATATGCCCATGCCTGGGCTATAGTTTTTCTATTGATGCTTGCTGCGACAGCTGGAATGACAGGCATATGAGTCAATATTCAGTTTCTTTTATTTACACAGAATCTGAGGATACTGTATTTAGCCTGGACTGGCTTGGGATCACAATCCTCCTGATCTCAGCCATCCTTCTCAGAACACTCACAAAAATAGCTTGAATATAAAGCATGTAGCATCATATCCAGCTTTTGATTAAGAGGGTCTCGTGAAAATTGTGCCTGTGAACTGTGTCTGTGAACTGTGATCCCAATCTTAGCCATATGAGCACCTTGCACTACAATGATGAGCCTCCTGGCCTGGATCAGTTCTTTAGTGTGCTGGATAGGGAAGCCAGAATCTAAACCTGAGCCACAGACTAGGAAGTATTCATTAAGGTTTTCTCTCCTTTCTTAAGCTATTGCAGTACAACTTAGAAAATCATTACCAGTTTCTGTTGCTTCAAGTGTTTCCATTATATATCTAACTGATAGTTTCATATTTGAAGCTCTTAAGTTGAAGACATTAATGGAATGACAGGGAACTATTTCCAGCCTGCTACAAGTGGCAATGCAATTTGACAAACAAAATTTGTTGCAGAGCAATATTGTGTCCACTATATGTAATTGGCCATGTTGTCAAACATCATTTGACTGAAGCTATGTGGGATTGTTCTGGATCATCTATTATGTTTACTGGTTTCCAGATGTTCTTAATACCAGTGTCAATGTGACTTTGTTTCAGTGGTTGTGCAGTACACTTTGAAATTAGGTTTCCCATATTTCCAGCATTGTGCTTTTTCCTCATGGTTTTGTTCTTTTATTGTGAGAATCCACACACTTTTTTTTGTTTTTGGGTCCATTCGTGGGGCCTGAACTCTGGGCCTGGGCGCTGTCCCTCAGCTCTTCAGCTCAAGGCTAGCGCTCTACCACTGAGCCACCTTCCCAGCCCCTCCACACAAATTTTAAGAAATTATTTTTTATTTTGTGAAGGTCAACATTAGAATTTTGAAGGGAAATGAATCTGTGAGTTTCTTTTTGAATCGGGCATTTCTACAATATTCGTGGTCATCCATTGAAATGGGATGTGCTTCCTGTTCTATTTTCTTCTGTAATTCTTTCTACTACATCTGACTGGTTTTCAAGTTTGACAGAAATCTTTGATGCCTTATGTTGAATTTTCTTAAGACATCTTTAGAGGCTGTGTCAGACAGTTAAGTACAGGGGTGTCTTTCTTCAGCAGTTTAGGTTAGTATAAAGCCTTCTGCTGGCATCTTTATGACATTGAAGCTATGAGATATCATTTGCAAAGAGAGCATGTTTGCCTGTATATGGTATGTGTGAATCCAACCTCTAAGTACAATGCCCTCATAATTTTAGGTGACAATTCAGAGGCATAGACTTTTCTGGACATTTCACCATTCACATGACATGGCATCATTTCATGCAATCCAGTTGCCTCATCCCAAACAACTTTCGTGCAAATAGTTTCTTGACACAGACTTAGGACAAACTACAACCAAGATAATTCCATCTCTGGGGCATCCTCACTATCTGTGGTCTTGGAAGAAATCACAGCACCTGCAGTGAAGAAGGCAAATTTACAAACATGTTTTCTAGCTCATGTTTTTCTTCCTGAGGCAAGGCTACAAATGCAGAGCCCCTGGGAATACTCTTACACATTACTTCTAGGGACTCACTAGAGGCTTTGATTAGAGGTGAACCATAGTGTAGATCTTGGTCAATAAAAAAAGACATATATGCACATATACATAACTGAAACTCTGGGCCTCACTTCCTGTCAGCTTTTCTGCTTGGCAGAGGATTCAGGGATGTGCATTTTGGCTTTCACACTCCTCCTTCTCCATGTTCCCCTCCCTGTCAGGTCCCTGGCTGGAACTAGCTGCTTTTCTACAATGAAGCAACGAGCGCACATGGATGGAGATGTGATGATTGCTGGGTTTTTTCCTCTCTATACTTTGGGAATAGATCACAGTCACAGCCATACTTCCAGGCAAGAAGACAACAGGATGTAAGTAATTCAGTATTTTACTTCCATTACTGTTTTATTCTGAGGATGTTCGACTGGTGAGAGAACTGTGGGTGCCTGCATTAATGATCACTTTCTCATCTATACTGACTTCTATCACTATTGCCTCCAAAGCAGCCCAGTTCCATTATTTTGTCTTTCATGTCCTGTTGAGAGATTTTCTGCCAGTTAGCAGGAGAGGACTCCATTTCCTACCATGTAGCTTCTCCTTTTCAGGACTGAAAGTTCTTCACTTTACTCCAGCATGCCTATATCTCTTCCATTTCTTCTTTCACTGTGGAAAATGTAGTGATGTCACTACAATCCTGAGTCACTGGCATGATTTCTGTATTAAATGGCTGCCACTTTATTTCCTTATCCTCTATAACAGAAGTCTGAGAACTTTTCTTTAGTAACATGTATTTTGTGAGAATGTTGATAAAATTTTTCATGGTGGCTCTTGCCTGTAATCCTAACTACAGATGGGGTTGATATCTGAGGATGGAGGTATGAAGCCAGCCCAAGCAGGAAAATCTATGAGAAGTTTATATCCAATTGACCTGCTAAATGCTGGAAATGATGTTGTGGCTTAAGTGACAGTGTGTGAACCTTGAGCCAAAAAGCACAAGAACAGTGTCCAGGCAGTGATTTCATGACCTAGAACTAGTATACACATGTGCATATGCACACACACACACACAGAGTTGCATACATACAGAATCTTAGTGCCCACAAGCAGTTACTTTTACAAATTAAGTCTTGTGGCATTGTTTCATGTCAGATATGCTCCACAACCCAGGTGTTACCAGGCAGCTCACTGTTATGAAAGATTCCTTCTGGGGGAATTTTATGTGCTCAAGATGAGTTCTTTACTTGTGCACATGTATATTCTTGACGCTTCATCTGTAATACAGTATCTCATTAATAAGTGGTTATACTAAAAGACAAAAAAGAAAATTGACTAAACAGAACTTCAAGAAATTCTAGCAAACTATCTGATTTCTATTGCAAAAGAAAGTATCATTTTCTCCCTCATCAGCACTGCTTTTTGAGTGCTGATATGACAATTATAGCCAGAGGCAGCTGCCCAAACTTGAGAGCAAAGATCCCAGGATAGGAATTACTCTCTTCTGTACTATAGAAGATACATCTCTTCATTTTATATGTCAGTAATATGTTTAGTGCAATTAGACATCAGTAGGTGAGAGATTTGACTGAAGTCTATTCCCACTGATGTTAGCTGATGTTTGCCAATTTTGATATACTTTGGTGCTTGTGCCAAGTACCTGGTTCATGTTGCAGTTCCACACTGTATATCACATGCTTTGAGTTTATTCACTCACTATTTTATAACAATGTATTTTTTATTTTTTATTTTTGTTGGTCATGGGGCTTGAACTCTGGTTCTGGGCACAGTCCCTCAGCTCTTTAGCTCAAGGTTAGCGCTCCACAACTTGAACCATAGTGCCACTTCCAGTTTTCTGAATGGTTTTTGGAGATAAGGGTCTCACAGCCTTCCCTGCTTGGGCTGGCTTTGAACCATGATCCTCAGATCTTAGCCTCCTGAGTAGCTAGGATTACAGGCATGAGCCACCACACCCGGCCTTTTATAGCCATTTTGTAACCGTTTATAATCATTTTTCTCTCTCATGTCTCTAAATTATTTTACTCATTTTCACTTTTCTTAGGTAGCTAGGAATAAGATGTTGGTAACTGGCTTACATTGGACTCTTGCATGTATTTTTATCTCAAACCTGATACTCTACCACTATACCTCTACTTCTAGCTTTTTGTTGGTTGACCTCACATAAAATGTGCCATGGACTTTTCTGTGACAGCTCACTTTGACTCAGGATCCTTAGCTGTCCATTTCTTTTTTTTTTTTTTTAATTTAATTTTATTTTATTTGAGAACATACTGTACAGAGGGGTTACAATTACATGGGCAGGAAAATGCATACATTTCTTACCAAGCATTGCAGCCTCCTCCTTTGTTTACCCTTCACCTCCCTTCCCAGCCTCTCCTCCTCCCCCCCACCCAATCATTCCCCCCTCCCCCCCCACCGACATTGTAAAGCTGGTTTTGACATGACATTTTGTACTTCTCATTGTTGCAACAGGTCCACCTGAATCCTTAAACGACTTGTTTGTCCCCGTCTCCTCCACATGTTATACTGACATCAAATATAGTGAAAGCGGGGGTTACACTGTGGGGGAGGGACATACAAAGCAACAAAGAAATAATCTTATAAATGCGTTAGAAACACATGCATGAAAGAAAAAAAAACATTAAAATACATATTTGAGGGTTCGTTTTCCTAACATCACATTCTCTGACTTTTTCCGCTTGACTCATACCTATACTAGATATTGAAAATAAGGGAAACCATGGGACCTATGTTTCTTTGGGCCTGGCTTACTTCACTTAATATAATTTTTTCCAAGCCTTTCCATTTCCTAACAAATGGGGCAGTGTCATTCTTTCTGATGGAGGCATAGAATTCCATTGTGTATATATACCACATCTTCTTGATCCATTCATCTACTGAGGGGCATCTGGGTTGGTTCCATATCTTAGCTATGGTAAATAACGCTGCAATAAACATAGTTGTGCTGGTAGCTTTAGTGTGGCCTTGTTTGTGATCATTTTGGTAAATGCCCAAAAGTGGGATTGCTGGGTCATTGGGGAGCTCTATGTGGAGTCTTTTGAGGAACCTCCATACTGCTTTCCAAAGTGGTTGAACAAGTTTACATTCCCACCAACAATGAAGTAAGGTTCCTTTCTGTCCACATCCCCTCCAGCATCTGTTGTTGTTAGAGTTCTTGATTTTTGCTGTTCTAACTGGAGTGAGGTGATATCTCAATGTTGTTTTGATTTGCATTTCTTTTATGGCTAGGGATGTTGAACATTTCTTCATGTGTCTAATGGCCATCCTTCTTTCTTCTTCAGAGAAGCTTCTCTTTAAGTCTTTCGCTCACTTACTTATTGGGCAGTTGTTTCTTTGAGGATTTGTTGTTGGGTGGTTTAATTTTTTGAGTTCCAAGTATATTTTAGATATGAGACCCTTGACCATTGTATGGCTAGTAAAGATCTTCTCCCAATCCGTGGGCTTTCTATTGATCTTGCTAGCTATGTCATTTGCCCTGCAGAACCTTATACAATCCCATTTGTCCAACCTTTCTTTGATTTGTTGTGTTTCCGGGTCTCTAGTCAGAAAATTTCGGCCTGAGCCGAGGAGACCCAGGGTTTCTCCTATTCCATCCTGTAATGTTTTCAGAGTGTCTGCTTTGAGTTCAAGGTCTTTGATCCATTTGGTGTTGATTCTGGTGCAGGGTGATATATAAGGATCTGGCTTTAGTTTTCTACATGTAGTTAACCAGTTTTGCCAGCACCATTTACTGAAGAGGCTGTCTGTCTTCCATTCTATTGTTTTAGCTCCCTTATCGAAGATTAGATGGCTATAGGTCTGTAGGTTCATTTCTGGGTTTTCAATTCTATTCCATTGGTCCTGAGGTCTGTTCTTATGCCAATACCAAGCTGTTTTGATTACTACGGCTTTATAGTAGAGTTTGAAATTTGGTATTGATATTCCTCCAGCAGTGTTCTTTCCGTTGAGAAACGTTTTTGCTATTCGGGGTCTTTTATTGTTCCATATGAATTTTTGGATTGCCTCTTCTATTTCCTTGAAGAATGAGGGTGGAATTTTGATAGGTATTGCGTTAAATTTGTAGATAGCCTTGGGAAGTATTGCCATTTTCACGATGTTAATCTTTCCAATCCAGGAGCATGGGAGGTTTTGCCATTTTTTAAGTTCTGTGTTGATTTCCTTTTTCAAGATTTTAAAGTTTTCATCATAGAGGTCCTTCACTTCTTTAGTTAAGTTAATTCCTAGGTATTTTATTTTTTGTGGGGCTATTACAAATGGAGTTGCTTTCCTAATTTCAGCCACACTTTTCTCATATTGGCATACAGAAAAGCCATTGATTTTGGGGGGTTAATTTTATAACCTGCTACTTTGCCAAAGTTTTGAATCAGCTTGAGTAATTTGGGAGTGGAGTCTATGGGATTCTTTAAATACAAGATCATGTCATCTGCAAAGAGGGAGAGTTTTATTTCTTCTTTCCCTATTTGGATCCCCTTTATGTCTGCGTTGTCTTATTGCTGTAGCTAGGCATTCTAATACTAGATTGAAGAGAAGTGGAGAGAGTGGGCATCCTTGACTTGTTCCTGAGTTAAGAGGAAATGGCTTTAGTTTTTCACCATTGAGTATAATGCTGGCTGTAGGTTTGTCATATACAGCCTTTATTGTATTGAGGAATGTTCCATGGATTCCTAATTTTTCCAAAACCTTCATCAGGAAGGGGTGTTGGATCTTGTCGAATGCTTTTTCTGCATCTATTGAGATAACCATGTGGTTCTTATTCTTGCTCCTGTTGATGTGATGAATAATATTAATTGATTTGCGTATATTGAACCAGCTTTGCATCCCTGAAATGAATCCTGTTTGATCGTGGTGTATGATTTTTTGGATGAATTGTTGAAGTCGGTTGGCCAAAATTTTGTTGAGAAGTTTTGCATCAATGTTCATCAAAGAAATGGGTCTATAGTTCTCTTTCTTTGATGAGTCCCTGCCTGGTTTTGGGATGAGGGTTATGATGGCTTCATAGAATGTGTTCGATAGTGAGCTTTCTCTTTCAATTTCATTGAAGCGTTGGAGGAGAATTGGTGTGAGCTCTGCTTTGAAGGCCTTGTAAAATTCTGCTGTAAAACCATCTGGTCCTGGACTTTTCTTAGCTGGGAGGTATCTTATTGCTGTTTCTATTTCAATGCTTGATATGGGCCTGTTAAGATAGTTTAACTCATCTTGGTTTAGTTTTGGCATGTCAATATTTGCTAGGAAGAGGTCCATTTCTGTCAAGTTCTCAAACTTATTAGCATAAAGTTTTGAGAAGTATTCCCTTATAATGTTCTGAATCTTCATTGTTTCCGTGGTGATGTTTCCA